AACTTCAACTGCATTTTTAAAATGACTATGCAATTATTGTTTCTAGTTAAACTTCAAATAAAACTTTATTCTGAAAATAATAAAAAATGTTCTCATTCTCACTGATTGTTTAACTGCACTTCATACTCCTGGTCTTTCTGAATGTAACTGTACTTGCCCAAAACACTCAGTACTGAAAGAGCTGTACTGGTCAGATATAGCATGGATGCATTTTGAAAACCTCAGGGAAATGAAATAGTCAAAACGGTTAATATCAGCTAAAAGAAACTGCATGAATAAATGTAGATTTTTTGTACCTTGCATACTAAAAGAATTTCATTGGCTGTATCAAACCATTCATTCTGAGACATGTAAAATAGTTGGCTGTACCACTATATTTTCTCTCTTCATTTCTTTAGAATCATTGCAATTTGCAGCACACAAGGAGATCATTTGGCCCATCGTGTCCTGAAAGGTTCTCAGCATTCCAACCCATCCTGCCTTATCCCCATATTCTTTCAAGCCTGTCATACCCACCTATTTTCCTCTTGAATCCCACAATGGATTCTGCCTTTACCACCTTATTTGGCAGAGTATTCCACATCCCAACAATTCTGAGCCTACTAGCTAAAAGTGACAGAATATTTTCACCATCATCATTTTTTAAATGAACTTAAAAATACTTATTTTAACAATGCATTTTTGTAAATGTATTATTTTACAGATATGAAGGAAAATTGATAGAAGTGAATATAACTCCATAAGTCAAAGGTTTTAATCATTGGTAGATTAATAGTTAATCACATTCCCTTTTTACCACAGTATTTGTTTAATACAGTGGTAATGTGAAAAACAGCATTATAATCACATTAATCTATCACAGTAAATGAACATGCCCCCAACAGATCAGATTATTTATGTATTAATGCACTAGTATTTATAGGGATGAATTAATATCTTTAGGGGTGGGAAAGAGAGCATGCAAATAGATCATCTGCTGCATAATACATAAGAATCCAAAATGATAACATCTAATTCAATGCTTAGTTTCTATCCCAGTCACTTTACTCCACTCTCTCCTTTAGTCTGACTCCTTTCTCCTTAGTACAATTTCATGGGTGCACCTTGATACCTTGCCCATTTAGCTGCTATTGTATACATTTGTGAACCTTAATAGCAAATGTAAAATCCGTAAAAGATCCTATTGGTATTTAACATGGAATGTAGTAAAGTCCACGGTAAGTGACGATTAATAGGCAGATCCCTCCCTCCCTTTGTCTTCCCGTTGCTCATGCAGATTAAAAATAATGAATCCTTCTCTACACTCACAACATAATTTGAAATAAATATTGTATGAGCTTTACCCTTTAGTTCTTTTTATTCAATTAGCATAAATCTGCAAAACCTAAAGATTTGGATTATTACATAGTGCACAAAAGGAAACCATCACATACAGGGAGAAAACAAAATGTTTTTTTTGCACTAATGCTGCTCTCCACCCGGAAGTAAAAGCTTGAATTCATTAAGTGCTACTGTTCACTTTTAACATCCAATTTCCCTACTGATTACTTGAAAAATGCAATGTTCTTGCAAATATTTGTCTGTGATTTGATACAATTTTGTAAAGTGTATAATATTCTCAAGTCATTAAGTAAATATTACTTAGGAGGGGAAGGAGATGGGGACACCCAACCTTCAAACTGGGCTGTGTCTGCAGAGAATACCATCAAAATGCGACAGGCGAAATATGGTCCGAGATGGAAGAAAGGGAGCTGCTATTGCATCTTTAATGGATCTGACAAGACAATCTGCTGCAGAATAGAGGAAGACAGATCGCTGCCTCCAGCATCTTCGTATACCATCAGATTCATGACAACACACATTCACCTACTCAGCACTGGCAATACATATGAAATCTCCTCTGTAAACCAAACCCTACGCGACCAACACCCTTTCCTCCAAAGCCATATCAATCAAATTAATAAAATAAGCTCATATGCAAGAAATAGTACATGTAACTGAAAATGGTCTAACTAGCTATGGCCAGACCTAGCCCTTCAGTTTCATATTCACCAGCAGTAGAATTTACAGTATTACTGAACCCGTAATAGCAGTCATGTAGTGTGTTCACATTACACAATGGAAATAGAAACAAGGGAAACATACAAGGGCTAAATGCATGCCTACAAACGCACCAAATACAGTAAAAAGTATGCATTGTAATTTGCAAGTAGAACATTTAAATCATACGTTTAAAATGTTAGACTTTTAAAAGGTTACGTTCTGCAATTTACATTTTAAAAACCTCCATTTGATTTTAGTTTGAATTATTTGCTGTTGTAAATTCCAATAGATTTTATATTGTACATAACCATGCAACTTGATGAAGCCCATAACCGCTAGCCCTGATTCATTGACATTAAATCGATCATTGTTGTCAAGATACTGTTATTATTCTTACATATACAGTAATTCAAGCATTTCCTGTTCCCGTCTGTATGTGGCCCTAGTCATAATTACAATAAAATAAAAAACATTTTTCATTCCGTTTTGCAAAATCTAAAATATAGGCATATATAGGCATAAACAATAGGCATAAACAAAGCTATGTTTTAGAATGTTCTAGGGTTGGTCAGAAAGGTTGCGTCAATGAATAATTAATTCAGCTAAATAACATCTAAGGTTTCCACAGAGCAGACTTGGCCAATATTATTTGTGCAATTGATTTTAGTTCTTCAACACCCAACCCATCTTTTTGATCATCACAACAAGACCAGGCAGCACTGGTCGCTTTTTACTCTATGAACGCAATTTAGTTAAAACATTTAAAAAATAAATCATCATTGTTTTAAATGACTGTCTTCTCAGTAAGGGACCATCAACCTACTGCAATTCCTAATTACACCAAGGTCTATTCTCAAGGGTATGAGATTGAATAGTTAACACAAATACATACCTAATCCCCTCCCTCAATCCTCAACCTTTTGTGACCTCTTCAGTACAGAATCCCAAATCTGCACCGTTTCACCATAAATTACCACACGATGCTAATCTAAATTTTAATGTGATATCCAATATCAAACTGCATAAAGAGTTGGCAAAATGAAATACCCTGCCAGGTGAATGGATACACAGCAACAATCTCTTAAGAATTTCCTAGACAAGTATGTAAGATCTTATTTCATATAGTAATCATATGCTTCACTGACCAACACCTATTCTAGTCCTCATTGTTTACTGTACAGCAATGTATACGTTTGATATGACTGCTACATATTCAATGAAGTCAAACAAGATTCTGGACTGATTTAAACCCAGGACGAGCTTACAGTAACATACTAATCCCCTCACTGATGAGATAATAAATCTATTAGTTAACACACACACATTCTGAATACACAGCATCTAAAAAAAATTAAATTTATTCTCATCTCTTGTTGTATAAATCGGAGATCTTTGCCAGTAATATATTTAGATTTATGATGAATTGGTATCTACTTGAAACTAAAAGGGCATCATAATATATCCAACACGCTTCCCTTATACCTATGATATGAAAACTGATTTGGGCTTCCTTGACTGATCCTTACCTCATTCTGTTTTATGCTAATTACTTGTATAGTTAATGAAACAAACACTTTTTATATCTAGAAAATGTCCACTTTGAATGTTCAATTTTCTTGTACACCTGTACCTCCATGCATTTTCTGTCCACAAATATACGGTCAATTCACTTTACAGTCTATTCTGCGAAGCGCTTTGAGACTGCGAGAAGACGTGAAAAGCGCTGTATCAAATGCAAGAATTATTACATTATTAACATTTCATTAACACAAATCTATGTTTATGAATTCAATTGATTTGGGGCACAGTTCCAGTCCGCTTTGTTAACGAAAAATTACTTGTACTTTTATTTTTTTCCCCTATACTGGTAACTCAAAACCTCACCCAGGGTCTGTGTTACCTTAACTAACATTTTTTTTCAGACCGCCTCTTCCTCGTTTATTATTCATCTCGTCTGGATCCAGTTTCTGCATTCGTTTCAAACCACCAGCGTATACAGTATTGATCACAACGGTGTGCAAACATACTATAGAGGGTAACTCGTCGCTAAATTTCTAATCATAAGCACAATTCAGTGCGGTGTTGGTATGTGGGGTAAGACTGCAATATTCGACCTTTTCTCTTCCTGCTGTCACCTGGACCGAGGCCTAACCTCCCAGAGCAGTTTGGACAGGAACCGCTTCACACACTCTGACAGCGAATGCCTTTTGTTTTCGATTACAACCCCGACGGATTCTGTCCCGGTAAAGCCCGGGAGCCCGCGGCGTCCCTCTCGGTCACGCTCCTGGGCATTCCCCGCAGTGTGGCACCCGGGCCGGGCCAGGGGAGGAGAGGGGGGGGAGGGGGGGGCCCGGCTCGCGTTTTAACATCCTGTCCCTTCCATTCAGCGCGGCTCCTGCCCTCGCAAGAGACGTTCACCGAAATGCCCGAATGGCCGCAAACGCAGCAAGTCGGGCTTTCCCAGACCCCACCACCACCAACAACAACAACAACAACAACGTTCAACCCCAACGCAAGTCATTTCTTGTGGGGAGGCACCACGTATGAGCGCTTTGGGGCCTGGGTCGCTGTATTTCACAGCCACAGCTCCCCCCCCTCCCTCCCTCCCTCTCCCCCCCTCCCTCCCTCTCTCTCCCCCTCCCTCCCTCCCTCTCTCTCCCCCTCCCTCCCTCCCTCTCTCCCCCTCCCTCCCCCTCCCTCCCTCCCTGCGTCTTTTCTTTCCCGATACACGACAAGAGTGAAATCAGTTGCCAAGTGTTTGAAGCTTATTTCATAACACATTTACACACACACACACACACACAAGAGAGCTATGCGGCTGATCGGAACCCCCCCTTTTGTCTTTGAGACGGATAAAAGAGACCGAGGATACACATTTAAGAGCTTGTGGACAGATCATAAACCGGTTTAACCAGCCCCACACCCTCCTCCTCTCCCTCTTGTCTGTCCCCCCTCACCTAGTGCCACCTCGCAGGCTTTGCGGAGCTGGGAGTGATGAGCCTTCTTCACCTCCTTGTCAGCCAAAATCTTCTCTAGCGCCCGGGTCAGAAACATGTTCTTCGTCTTTTTCCCCTCATACATGTCGCGCCGACCCAGACTCCGCGCGGCTCAGGGAGGGAGGGACGGACGGACGGGGGGGGGGGGTTGTGGTTGTTATTTCTTTACCTCTCTCTGTCCCCTCTCTCCCCTCTTCCCCCCCTTCTCCACGCACTCGGGCGAGATTTCCGACGATTAAAATTTTCTTTCCTCCTATTATTTATTCTCTAAATAGAGGGGGAGGGGTGGGGGGAGGGAAGGAGAAATATCTATATTTATATATATTAAAAGAAACACACTCGACACACAGCGACGGCGGCAGGTAATCAGGGAGGGGAGGGAGGGAGGGAGGGGAGGGCAGTGTCCCGGGCGGCCTCACTGCGGGGGGTGGGCTGCGGAGAGACGCCGAGCGCCGAGCTCCTCCGTTAGCGACCCTCCGGCGCCATGTTGGAAGGAGGCAGCGTCACGCCGGCGACGGTGCGCCGTTGACGTGCGTGCGTCAGTGCGTCACGCCCCTGCCCCCGCGCGCTGCAGCAAACAGGGACCGAGGGGCGTCAGAGCCCGTCCTCCGGCTGCTGCTCACACACACACACACTGGTCCTGAGGGGGGGGGGAAGGAGGGGGAAAGGAAAGGAGGGGGAGGGGGAGAGGGGGGAAGGAAAGGAGGGAGAGGGGGAGGGAGGGGGGGGGGAAGGAAAGGAGGGAGGGGGGGAAGGAAAGGAGGGAGGGGGGGAAGGAAAGGAGGGAGGGGGGGGAAGGAAGGAAAGGAGGGAGGGGGAGGGGGGGAGGAAAGGAGGGGGGGGGGAAGGAAAGGGGGAGGGGGGGGGGAAGGAAGGAAAGGGAAGGGAGGGAGAGGGGGGGGAAGGGAAGGGGGGAGGGGGGGGGAAGGGAAGGAGGGAGAGGGGGGGAAGGAAGGAGGGAGAGGGGGAAAGGGAAGGAGGGGGAAGAAGGGAGAGGGGAAAGGAGGGGGGGGAAAGGGAAAGGAGGAGGGAGAGGGGAAGAAGGGAGAGGGAGGAAAGAAGGAGGGGGGAGAGGGGAAGGAGGGGGAAAGGGAAGGAGAAGGGAAAGGGAAGGAGGAGGGGGGAGGCGAAGGAGGAGGGGTGGAGGGGAAGAAGAGAGAGTGGGGAAAGGGAAGGAGGGGGGAAAGGAAAGGGAGAGTGGGTGGAATGGGGAGTTTAATTATAATAATCCTTGCGTTTGATATAGCGCTTCGTCACATCTCAAAAGTGTTTTCACAGAATGTACAGTGAAGTTAATTGACTATATTTTGCGGGCGAAACTTTTGTGGGAGGTTAAGAGTCGTTTAGTGCAAAAAATAAGTATTGTCAGCTCAGGAACCAACCTATCTTATTTTTAAATAAATACAAAGTATGAAAATAAATGATACATCCCGAATACGACAACAACTTTGCACTTATGTACTGTGCTCCATGCAGGGTATCGTCTCAGAGCGCTTCACAGCGCTTTGGGAGGTCCTCCCGGCGTGAAAGGCGTGATACAAACGTAATTTCATTTTGCCCACAAACATACGTGGAGTCCTGTAGCTCAGTGGTTACAGCACTCGCTTTGCAAGTGAGAGACCCGAGTTCAATTCCAGGCAGAGGGCGAAACCTTGGGCAAGTTTCCTTACTCCACACAGAGCCTAATAATAATCCCTCCAAAACCAAAAACAATAATAAATTGGTCATTTTCAATCTACCACTGTTTGTGGGACATTGCTGTGCGCAATTGGCTGCCGCGTTCGCCCACAAATATACAGTCAATTCACTTTACAGTGTGTTCTGCGAAGCGCTTTGGAATGTCCTCCCGACGTGAAAAGCGCTATATCAAATGCAAGGATTATTATTATTATTATTCAGTCAATTCATTTTACAGTCTGTTCTGTGAAGCGCTTTGAGACGAAAAGCACTATATCAAATGCAAGGAATATAATTATTATTAATTTGGTAATCTAGTTTATGAATCATGTATTGTAGGAGTCAGTAGTTGCGCATTCACCAAGTCTAGATCCACCGAAACCTTTTCGAGTATCAAAAGGCAGACAACGCAATGCTTTTGGAAATGACACTGAATGTGTCACAATGACTGATCATCTTTGTTAAAACACCAGTTACAACAGTCACTACGTACTGTGTGTATTTACTACGTGTATAATTTATATATGTATATAGATTCCTATTTTCCTCAGTGACCAGGAATTTTGGAAAGCAAAGATGGAAAAGCAAAACGTAAAATGGGGAATAGGTAACACAGTATTGCTTTGTCTGTCCTCTTAGTGTCGTTACCCAGATTAACACAACAACCATATCAACACATTTACATTTATATAGCACTGTTCATATTGGGAAGACATCTTAAAATGCTGGGTTGTTCAGGGTTTGCAGCTGAGCTGGGGTTGGGAGCTGAGTGGCGTAAGTGTATTGTATTGCTCTGCAGTTTATTTTTTCAATCCCATTTAAAGTGCTGTATATCTCGATAAGGTTCCCTCTGAGATGTCTCCTTTCAAGACTGAAGAGCCCAGTCTTGTTAATCTTTGCTCATAGCTAATTGCACAAATACCTGGGTATTTTCTGCATTGCTTCTAAGGCCTGGGCAGCCTGCTTATGTCAACCTTTACTCTCCCTCCGCTCAGCAGGCTCTGGCCTGCTCCACGTCCCACGGCCCGGCCCACTCGAGCATCGGCGGCCAGGCCTTCAGCCTTGCTGTCCCCTCCCTATGGACCTCCATCCCACATTCCCTTCTCCTCACTCCCTCCCTTGCCTCCTTCAAGACTTGTCTTGAAAACCCTCCTCTCCGACCAAGCTTTCGGCCACCCTCCTACCCTCCCTGTCCTCCACCCTCCGCGATCCCAGCTTGAGTCCAAATCCCTGACTGTCCAGCGCCTTGGGACGTCCTCCCGACGTGAAAGGCACTATACAAATGTAATTTTGTATTGTATGTCACGGTGACCAGAACTGTATGCAGTACTGTGGCTGTCACCTGACCAGCTCTTAAATTGAGCCCATTTAGGAACTCAAATAGAATTTAGTGAAAAAAACAGCATCGATTTGGTTTATTTATAGAGTATCTCTTACAGCCATTAGAAATCTTTGGATCCTTTCAGTCTGGAGGTGGATTTAAAACATTCCATGAGGTGAGGAAACTTAGTTTAGCATATTGTTTCATTCAGCTCCCCCATTATATTTACATAATTATATTAATAGTGCAGCGATTTTTGCAGTAAATTGTTATTTCAGCTCTTGTTTATAATTTAGAAAAATTAAAAGTGCATCGTAACCAGGACATAATTGTTCCCAACAATGTGTCTAATCTCACTCTCTTTGCTGTTCAAATTGCTAAAATATTGTAATTAGGCAGCATCATCTAGCACCCTAAAGGAGAAATCCAGCCCGTGTGATAATTTCTCATTCCATTCCATACTCCTCCCATCTACATTCAATAGCTCCCCTCCCCCAGACAAAAAAAATTCTTGAAGCAAAACTGTGGTCGAAAATAGTCAGACATCTTTCACGATTTTTGTGCGTCAGCATCGCTCAGTTAATAAAATCATTGAATCTTACAGCAATTCGGTCCATCGTGCCTGTGCCGGCTCTTTGAAAGAGCTATCCAATTAGTGCCACTCCCCCGCTCTTTCCCCATGTTTTCTTTTTCAAGTATATATCCAATTCCCTTTTGAAAGTTATTATTGAAAGTTGATAGCATTCTTGCCTCAGAAAGTTTTCAGAAGGTGCAGAAGGATGTACGAGCCCCAAAGTTGGGACAATGGATTCATCGACTATGTTGACACTCCAATGGGGCTATGCTGCATTGTTGGAAGCTCCATCCTTCGAATGAGACAATAAATCAAGGTCCTATCTGCTTGATCAGGTTAATGTTACAGATTCCATGACACTACTCGAAAACAGAAGGAAATTTCTCCTAGCGCCCTGGCCAACAATCCCCCATATAAAATTGCTCATTCATTTCATGGCTATTTGTGAGACTTAGCCACGCTCAAATGGGCTGTCACATTTGCCTAATAAATGCAGTCACAAGTCTTTACAGTGAATTACTCCTATTTCTGTGTGTCATTAACTGGTCATTGCAAACACCATCTCTAGACAAATAGTTGACACAACCTGAATGCATACTTGTTCGAAGAATTTGTTTGATATAGATCCTTATCATACTAAAATATGTTTACCTGCTTCACACAGTCAGTTATTTTGAAGTTGTTGTTCTGAAGGCAAATGTGGCAGTTAAATTGCATTAGCAACTTCCCACAAACTTTAACTTGAATAACCCATTAATCCTATTTAATAAATTAAATAACAATAATAATCCTTGCATTTGCCATAGCACCTTATCATGTCTTTGAGATGTCTCAAAATGCTTCATAGAATATATAGTTAGTGGATTGACTGTATACCTTGTGGGCGAAACACGGCAGCTAATTGCGCACAACAGTGTCTCACAAACAGTCATGGATTGAGCGATTAAAATTTTTCTTTGAGGGGGCTGGATTAACACCCCAGAAAGCAATCTGCAAATTAACTAACAACTGAGCTCCTACTTAATGCTAGGTAACAGATTACGCTTGTAAGGTGATGTTTAATATCTAATTAAAGGATGGAACCTGCTACATTTATGGAGATGGCATGCCAAAGAAATCTATTGTTCAAGGCTGAATAACGTAGAATATAGGTTTCGGCAGATCTGTGGTTTCATTAGATTTACCTTTTTGTGGATGGGGAGAATCTTCGCAGAATATTTTCTCAGACGTTTAAATTGGTTGGGATACATGTCCAATGGAGGGATTGCACTTCGTCTAAAGGGAACAGAATTATTGAGACAAATTGGCTTTGCTCCTTATGAATTGTCCGTCCCTAAAGACATCATCACGACCTTCAGTAATGAGATGGGGATGGGGAAGGGAGAGAAAGACCTTCCTGCAATAAAGCAGAGATTTTAAATCCAGCGTTTTCTATTCAACCCACGCCATAATCACATTATTGAAACAGAATTCAGCCTACAGGCTACAAAATGAATGAAACACAATGGCATTGAATGTTTCAAGGCTTCTTATTCAAAGACA